GGAGATTAAAAGGGAATAGTCAGGTGAGTTCAATGTAGAAAGGGAAGGAATAGCATGACAGAAGTGAGCTCAATTGTCTTTTAAAATGTAAAGTTACCATTGCAGTACTTTGGATCTTAACAGCGCCACTGTTTAGTGTAGAAGAAACGCCAAAGCTAGCTTTAAAGCGGGGTTCGGAAACCTCAGGCCAGGCTTGCCTAAATCCAGTCCCTGAGGCTCACGAGGCCCTGCATTGGGGAGCCCGTGCTGGCACTTCAGCCGCCCTGCTGCCCCACCACAGAGCAGGGGTACTCCTCTTGGCTTTGGTGTGTGAGAAATGTGGGGAGTCTTTTTTTTCCTTCTCAGCAGGGGTGCCACTTCTCACTTGTGTGCAGCCCCTCACTGATTTTTCTGCGAGTCAGTGGCCCCGATCCAAAAAAAGTTCCCCACCTCTGTTTTAAAGAAACGTGAGGCTTACAAACCTAGTAGCACTGTCCACACTAGAAGAAATAGAAAAGGGTGAACAAGCAACATGGTGATAAACAAAGGTAACCTTAATAAAGAACCAGCAGTCCTGTGGCACCTTGGAGACAGGTTATAAGTAACACACAAAGCAGGTTAAAACATTATATGCTCATTTTTATCCCCATCTCTCCCTTTAAGAGTCTCACCAGTGAAAATGGGGAGAAAATGCCCATTTCTAGATTGCCTAATCATTTCTGGAACAGTTCCCCAATAACAATTTCTACCTTTAGCAGCCCTTCTCTCCTACAGGAGAAGCATCTGACTGGGGGGTTATTCAGTTACTGAGCGGAGCCCAAAGAAGCAGGCAGGTAAAGAGCACAGGAGCTTTTTCCCCTGCTCTTCTTTTTAGACCCTTTCAAAGCCTAGAGCCAAGGCAACAAAGACTGGGGCAGACTCCGCTCTCGGTTACTCCCATGGCTCCAGGGACGCCGATTTCTACTGGCAGTGCAGCCAGTCCCAAAGTCGGAGCTGGGGTGTCCTCCCCTGCAAAAAAAATCTCTCACCCCATGCGGTGTAACGAGCAAGCAAAACACGTTGCAAGAAAAAACAAACCAAACACGCCGCATCCAGCCACTGGAAACCCGAACTACGCGCCTGTAAATCTTTAACTTTTGCTGCAGTGACAGCAACCCCGGAGCGCCGTCAGGCTGGCTCACCCCGACGCCGCTAAAGGCTGAGACCTGGGCCACTGCCAGGCTCAGAGGGAGCAGGATCCGGCCCTCGAAAGCGCACCCTCCCAGGCAGAGCTCTCCGCGCCAGAGGCTGCTCGCAGCCCCTCCCCATGTGCTTTTCCTCGAAGGAAAGCCAGGCTGCGTTGACACCGGGAGAACTAGCCCCAGCCCTCGCACGTGTGGGCTCCGCAGGCGGCTTAATCCCTCGCTCTCTGGGCTTCTTCACACTTGGCGGGAGAACATCGCTCGGCAGCGTCCAACCCCCACCCCGCGCACACACCCCGGACAGAAGCAAAACCCGAGAGCAGCCACTCACCGAGCCCCTGCACCACAGGAACTTAGGGCAGCTCAAGTGCCGGACTCAAGCTGTTGCCGCCCGTAAGTTGCACTGGAAAAGCAAAGTCTCCCCCCCCCCCATAACTACTGCAGCAGCCGCCCTGCCCGCACGTAACTCCCGGCTGCAGCGGGGCAGACCTACCTTTCGGCCCGGCTCACGCCGCTGCTCCCCGGGCTGCGCGCGCTCCGGCTACTGGCCAAGAGCTTAGCGCGCCGCTCCCGCCCGGCCAGCCTCCCGCACGCACTCACCCACCCACAGTGAGCCTCAACGGCCACCCAACTGTCAGCCCAGAGGCGTGAATGCAGCCTCACGTGCGGATGCAGAGCCAATCCAGAGCGCGAGACGGGCAGGCTCACCCTCCCCCCGCCCTCTGCTCTCCTCCCAGCCCTGTGGACTGCGATCGCTCCGAGAGCTCACTTCGGGTTTGGGACCGTCCAGCGCTGGGAGAAGCAGCAGGATCCGAAGTGAGCCAGGCTTTGATCCCGCACTGCACCCTCTTCTCCACCAACTCCCAGTGCAGGCTGGGAGCCAGCAGCTCGCTCTGAAGCAGGAGAGATCGTATTAAATACAACACATTAATTACGCACGACCAATATTGAAAGCAGTGACTGAAGGAAAAAGGGAAGTCGGGCAGAGTGAATCTTGGAAAGAAATGAAAAACCTTTGAGGGAAGAAAGTGCTGATCGTTCCATGGGTTTCCTTCCTAGTTTGAACACTAACAGATAAACAGCTGTCCGAGAGGGGTGTATTTCTTAGTCACCCTTTGAAATCAAAGGGAAATCTATAATAGAGTTAGGTGCCTAAATACCTTTCAGGATCTGGGCTTTAATCTCACTAATGCTCTGGTTAAAAACAGATTGGTCTTGGCCAGGTCCAATCAAAACTTTTTTTTTGTCAACAAAATGTCTGTTTTGCAAACAAGAAGTTTTCGCAACAAATGTTTATTTTTGTTTTGAAAAGTCCTTTTTTGTAAAAAAAAAATAACAAAAACTCATTTAAATAAAAACATATTTGCTTTGGATAAAATTTTGCAACCTGCTCACAGGATGTAACCTTGGTTGACTTCCCAGCAGTTTAGAGGAACAGGATCTAAAGCAAATACCTATGTGGTGAGTGTCTTCACAAATAAGTTGTACTCAGAGAGGTAACGGGCATGTTTGTAGGACTGGGTCTTTAATGTGGAATTAAAAGAATTTTGAGGAGAAGGGAAGTGCAAACAACATGAAATTCATTTAGACAACGTGATTTCTAGTTTTCTATGTCTGAAGCTTCACAATGCCAATTTGGCTGAGAAATGCAGACATATCCACTTAGTAACAGAATGCAAATCAGTATGGCAGAGATGGGGAACCTAAGGCCCAGGGCTGGATGCATCCCCTGTCTTGCCTGGAACCAACCTCCAAGACTCAGGGCCCCTCCAACCCCTCCCCCGCATTGGGGAGCCCACACTAGTGCTCCAGCCCCACCCTTCCCCGCCCTGTTCCATCATGGAGCTGAAACACACAGAATCTACTAGGGTGGGCCCCCTTCGCCTGTGAGGCTAGGCAAACTAGGCAGATGCCTAGGGTGCCGCCAGCCCCGATGCCCTGTGATTACGTCACGGCCATTGACTGCCATGCACCGATCGCGCCTTCTGCCTGGGGCGCCAGCTGCTGCAGCCGGCATCGGGCCGTTCCTGCCCCTAGGCTCTGGTGTGCAAAGGGAATTCAGGGAGTGTCTTTCTCCTCAGTCAAGGGCCATGTCAATCAGGGTGGGTTTGTTTGTTTGTTTGCATGTTTGTTGGGGGTGCGGGGTTCTTTTGGTTTTTTTTTTTTGCTTCTCACTAGTATGCGGCCTCCAACTGATTTTTCTGTATGTCAGTGGCCCCCGAACCCAAAAAAGATTCCTTACCCTTGCAGTATGGGATGGAATTTTTGCCTTATTGAATATATTCAGGAACTGAATCGTATACAGCAATGGATAATGTTACAGAGGTAGACACAGTAACTACAAATGTAGGCCCTGATCCTGCAACCTTTACTGCACCAATGGATCCACCAACTCTGTCAGAATGGAGCCTTCATTCTAAGGGCTACATGTGTGGATGAGTTTTCAGGATCAGGAAAGTATTTTGCTGCTGTATTTGTCAAATGACTTTGAATATTAAATTAGATTTTTTCTGCTTTTGGTGCATTGCATGTGACATGACGTTACCATACAATGTCACTTAGACATCAGTACCAATACAATGTTTAAAAACAGGTAAACCAGCTAGAATGAAAATCCTTTTGTTCTGTTTTATGTCTATGTTAAGAGAGTATTTTGTAATGTTTTCGATTTCAGTTTTCGATTTCAGATTTCAGCATTTGAAGAGAGCTAGTATTACATTATTATACAGTTTTTAGGGATGTAAGCGATTAGTAGACTAGTGCAGTGTTTCTCGACGAGTGGTACATGTACCCTCAGGGGCATGTGAGAGAAGTCTGGGAGGTACATCAACACAAGTGAAATTTGGCAAAAAATATACAGGATTTTGTGCTACAACGGGGATCAGAGAGGGGGCAGGGGTACGTGCCTGTCAAATTGAATGTTTGGAGCCACACGCCCAGACGTTAACAGCTGCTCTGCACACACGCCCCAACACTGGTGGGAAAAGAGTATGGCTGTGGCAGCAGCTCCGGTGAGACCTAGGGCAGTTCCAAGCTGTGGAGAGAGGAGGAAAAAAAAAACATCCACAGCTGCCTCTCCTAGTTCATTTCCTCTCTGGCAGCCTCCCCAGGGTGCTCCAGCGGGGCGGTCGGCTGAACCTGGAGGCGCGCATTACCCCCACCCCCGCCAGCAACTCAGTACAACGCATCCCCATCACCCCTTCCCCGTGGCGCTGCGGAGAGGAACGAAAAGGCTGTGAAGTGGCACAATAAAGCTTTGCTCCAAAGGACCCCCATTAGTGGTATGCCAAAGGGAGGCAGTTGCCCTCAGGCGCCACACTAGGGGGGCGCCAGGCTGAGGTGGGAGCACACAGCCCCACGTGGTGAGCCCTGCATTGGCGGGCCACTTGCTCCCTGCAAACAAGCCACCGAGGCAGGGCCAGGCAGTGGGAGCGGGCACTTCAAAGATAGGGTTACCTTAAATCCGGTGCCTGGTCCCGGAGGGAGAGGAGGCACATTGGGTTAGAGCAGGGAGCCAAAGGGGGCTTGGCTGTGTGGGAGGGGTGGGTGCACTGGGTTAGAGCAGGCAGTTGGGGATACTTACAAATTTTTTTTGAAGGGGGTACTTTGTAAAAAAAAGGTGGAACAACACTGGACTACTCAACTACCCAATAAGCATTGCCTTATCCAGCAGTCTAGTCGACTAGTCTCTTCTACCCACCCTGTATCAGAGGCAACAAGTGTGGGAGTAGGAGCCAGTGCTTGAGGGGAGCCAGCTTAAAAGTCACTTCTCCCCAGCACCATCTCCGCAAGGGGGCAAGAATGGCAGGGGAAACATTCTCCAGTTTCACCAGTCCAAATGCTGTGTTTCTGGCTTTTAAATGTAGTAAGAGCGGCAAGCGCCTCTTATTACATTTAAAAGCTAGAGGTGCAGCCGAGATAGTTAGTGCCGCGCCCCGCCCTTAATCAACTTATTGAGTAGTCAATGGAAATTCCATTGACTACTTGATTAGCGGACTAATCTAAATTTAACACTCATAACAGTTTTAGGAAAGAGTTTTATATTTTCAATAATTTTATCTAACTCTGCAGACTAACAGTCCACTAGCCACTTCATTGTTCAGTATTTTTTCTTAGTCAACTAAGCTTCACTTAACTATAATGGGAAATGTAATTATCTATCAGTATAGGTCTGGAATGGACCCTGTATCATTAGAACCTGTTACCACTTTAGTTCATTTAGGACTTAATCCAAAATCCATTGGAATCACTCCCATATATTTCAGAATTTTGGGTTGAGGGCTTTGGAAAACATCCAACCTATGTGGCTGTATGCTAAACTCTGTAGCAGAGCCTTCTCCAGGTGCCTGACATTTTCCCATTATGTACTAGGGACCTGTTATTTTTCATTTGGCCAGCACTCACCTTCCGTTTTCCCTGTAGTGGGAGATTAAACTTTCAAAACATGTCCTTTCTTTCTGAAACTCTCACTGCCAATACAGCCAGGTGTTTCCAGCACTCACAGATTTTTGATCTAACGCACAGCTTTGGAAGATATCCAAGGGCAACTGACCAAGACTTCCAAAAGGGTAAATCCATTTGGAGACACAGACACAGGAGCTAGCCCTCCTCACATTGCTATAAAATGCAGTATTGCTGATGTCCACAAATCACAAGTCAGGACCCGTAAAAGATGACATTGGCTTAAAAATCATGAGATTTCTCCTAAAATAATAGATTTTTATACATTTTTATTTGCTTACTGGTTTTCTTAAACCTTCAAAAGTACACCTGGGTCCCATTTCAGACTGTTCTAGTCAACGAGTGCTAGAAACTTGAAATCAATCCAAGTCAGGAGCCTAAGTACCTTTGAGGGTATAGGCCTTGCTTCTTTTTAAAAATGAAAGTTAAGATTCTCATGTAATTTCATCATTTCATGAATGGAGGAGACAAACCCCTCAAAAACCATGAGAATTGACGATACTGAAAATGGCAGTTTTCAGCTCTGGTCTACCAGCTTTCTACTTTTATTTTCCTTCATTTCTAGTTCTTTTCCTTGCAGGTTCCCTTTACAAATTTTATATGTCTAGACTGGTGAGTGTTATATTTTATGCTTAAAAGCTGCCCCAAATCCAGCTGCTACTCTTCTCACCCAGTCTTACCTGTCAGCTGTTCCCCATATCTTTCAGAAATCCTTCCTTTTTGCCTCTGTCCTCTATATGATATTTCACATCCATTAGTTAATTATTGACATTAGCAATGCTGAATCATGAAAATGAAGTTCTGTTTTGCATGTTTAAGAAATGAATCTTCTCTTGTATTATTACTTTGGTCATATGCTTGATTTTGTGTCTGTTTCTCATATTTGGGCCTTGCCATACTGAGAGCTCATCTGATGAAGTGGGTTTTGCCCAAGCAAGCTCATGATACTATATATATTTTAGTTAGTCTCTAAGGCTAGGCTTTTTGAGGAATACAGGATCCATCGAAAAAGGGTTTATTTTCGACATCTGCGTCTAGACTGCCGTTTCAATTTTTTTTTAAAAGCTCTGTGTCGGAAAAAAGCGCAGCCATGGTTATGCTAATGAAGCATGGGATATTTAAATCCCTGCTTCATTAGCAATTTCGACGTGCCTAATCTACATCTCTTTGTCGACAGAGAGGT